ACTACCCCCAGAACCTCGCTGCCAATAATCAGGAGCCCAGACCACCCAGAACCAGATTTGGGAGGGAGGAAGGGAGAAGGCAACAGGTAGGGAAGGAAATCTAGAGGAAATATAGTGTTGAGAGAGTCTGTGTGCGTATTAGTGGGGTGGTGGGGCACATAAATGAAAGAAACACCCTTGATTAAAGGCTGGTTGGCATCTGAGAAAACCACACTTGCCTCTTAACTGATGTGGGAAATGGAAAGCAGTGTAGGAACCCTCTCATCCTGACCTGCGGTGGGCTGCGTCTCTTTTCCTTCAGCTCAACTGCACAGACAAATTAATGATGCCACTTGATCTGCATAATGCTAAGCTGCATTGCTTGACTACCTTTTGAAAGATTAGTAACTCTTTCATGAGCTGTGGCAGGTTGAAAACCACAACTTTACGACTCGTGTATAATAGACGATAATTGGACGGTAATTGGAAGATTTCCACTTGTGCAACGCTCCAGGCAACAACGAAAGACTTGGACTGACGTAACACAATGGTTCTCCAGAACCATGGTAAACTACAGACAAATTCAATAGACACTAAAAGCTGTTTGATTACATACAATCCGGTCTACATTGTAGTGAATTCTGGACAGGAACAGCTGCTTAGATAGAAAGAGCCTGACTGACGTGCATGTAAAACAACTAAGCACAGTATCTATGCACAATCAGCTTGTAACACTCCAAAGAGAAAGGAAAACTTGAAATCGCATCATATGACCCCTTTAATAAATCTGAAATCGATGATAGAACAATTCCACAAAATTGGAAATCCAAAAACTGTACTGTGTAGATCATTATATCTGAATTTCTTTATCCAAAAGTACTAGTTTTATTAAGCGTAAGGGCGCCTTGATTACTTGGAAACTGTCAAATAAAACTCTGAATGTCTTTCAAAGATTCTATGCCCATGAACCCAGGCATCAAATCAAGCAACTAGTTTTTCCGAAATTTTGCAGCATGGCACCTTGTAAACACAGCTTTGTTTCCTGGTGGGCTGGTAAAAACATGTGCACTCTGACTTCCGGAAATAGAGTGAACCAGACAATCAGATTGGAGCTTCCGGTTTGTGGGAATATGCATCCGTGGGAGTGTTGTCTGAAGTCTTGCTCTAGATGATTGATCTTTGTCAGAAGACAATATGGACAAAAATATATATCTGACATTAAACTGTTTGTTTTAATAAAAGTATTACTACAAGATCTCCGGTGACTAGAGATCAGTTGTTGTGTTTGACCATTTCTCTGTTCGTTAGTGGATCAATCTATCCAGGACGAAAAAATGAGAAAGCTGGAAAGTCCCAAAACATGTTACCGGACCATTTGGTTCCGCTCCCCAAAACTATTTCCAGCCGTGAGTCAGAAAGGCATCATGAATCTGATAAAGGGTCAGTTGACTTGGGGACTTATGGGGGGGATGGGACGTCTCATTTTACAGCTTTGCTTTATCATCATTTCCAGTACCGCATGTAAAACTTGAATATTACGGTACGGATACACCAATTTGTGCTCTTTCATCTTAATTCGTTGCCTTTTGCGAGTTATAAAAGCCATCTGTTTTGATGCGTTGTTTTAGTTTTGCATAATTTCTGGGTGATATAAAGCAAGATGTGAATTAACATATTTGGTGTTGTTTACATTGTTTTGCCCTGACATGCAACCTGTCGAATTCTACACGTGTAAAGTATAAGCACTTTTGAAGCAGTTGGAAAACAATGTCAGAAAGCTGTCATATCTGTTCTTCAAGCAATCATCCATTCAAACATGATCAGGAAATCTTGTGAAATTCAACTGAATGTGAAATGCTTGTTGACTATATGTAAAGCAAGTAAAGGCTGTAGAGCATACAAATGAAAAGCATACATATTTAGAAGCAATACATGCTATAGCATTTATACGGTTATATCATCTCTATTATTGTAAACTTCACTGTACTACATGTACATACTTTCACAACTATAATGCTTTTTGCATGTTAAACTGTTATAGTAAGTGTTAATCGATTTACGACTTATGCAATATGTAAAATAAGTTTTTTGTTTTTTTTTACTGAACAATGTTTATTCTTATTATTTATCATCAATGCCATCAAAGTGACTTCAACATTTGAGTCCAATAATGAATGACAATCATTTGTGCTTTTAATTATTCTATGCATAATTAAAGCTGCAGTGCGTACGTTTTGCCTCGTTGTCGCCAAGGTAAGGAGATAGTTTTGAACACTGATTGGTTATGTACTTGCTCAATAATTGATTTCGGATCATTTTTAACCAAAAGTTACTGAATGCAGCTATTAATGCCTTATTCTGCATGACCATATTCTAGATCCATTAACCTGACCCAATACCTAAACTTAACAACTACCTTACTAACTATTAATAAACAGCAAATTAGGAGTTTATTGAGGGAAAACTCTTAGTTAATAGTGAATATGTGTTCCCTAATCTAAAGTGTTACTGACTTTTCTAACAATTGTGTCTTTATAACAACCTCAGAACTAGAAGATGAACAAGTTGATTTATTTCATAAACCATGTGGCAGTGTTTCTACATTCCACACACATCTGTCTGGCCTCTTGCTCAACTGACTGTTTGCATTGTTTTCTTCAAATGATTCATATAATTAATGAATGAAGCAAATATGTGTTTTGATGTCTGGGTGCAGAAATTATGTACTGCTGTTGATCTGGGTGGTGTAACCCTACGAACCTACGGTCTAAACAGCGGCGAAACAGGGAGGGAATATTTTATCAGCTTTTAGTTTGATGCACTTTTCTTATTATTATTGGTATAAAACAATGGCCCTAAAGCCTCTAAATGAACAACTGCCTTATTTGGTCCTATTGAATAAATTTTTTGATTTCTCAGTATGAAAGCAGATGTGGTTTATGACATGACCAGACAAAGGTTCTACTGTAATTGTCAGCTGTCAGTCACTTACCAGTAGTGACCAAAACAGGCATCTGGGATTATGTTGAAATATAAAATGGCAACATATTAATATAATGAATTACCTGTAATGTACAGTACTAAAATGACTTTTTAGGAGGGTTCCAAGTAAACCAAACACTGATGTAAGAGCAGACAAAAGCAAAGCACCTTAAAAATCTAGTTTTTTTTTTTTTTTCTAAACATAAAATGACGAACACAAATTTTGGTGGTGAATTATGGGCCAGCAATTTTCAAATAATTTCAGAAAATTAATTTCTTAAAAATAATGAAAAACACATTACATATTTATTACTCTGCATATTTATGTTTTATTTTTATATTTCTTTTCATATTTTTTCCCCCCCAAAAAAGATGTGTATCAGAGGTAAAGCAAAGAGTTTTTTTTTTTCTATGAAGCTCTGTTGTGGTTATTGGGACAAGCTGTATAAAACAGCCACTAGAAAGTTATCTTTCCTTTATTTGTTTTGTCTTCTCTTTGCTGTACAATTAGAATGAAGCCCTCTTTCATCGTAAGAGGAAGAGGTGTTTTTGAAGTTGCTGTCTTTCCCGAGCGCTCTGGGCACACCTGTAGTCTAAATTGCCAGTGTTGTCACATATCGTCTCTTCCCCCCCTCGGCTTCTGTGTCCAAAACACTTCCGTCCACATCAAAGACCCCACAATCAAAAGACAACGCACAGAGACAAAATAACATTTACCTCAGCTTACTTCATTCATGCACCAGCTAAACACAGACGCTGTAGACACTGATGATGAGTCTGATATCACATACGCCACATGAGAGTGTCAACTCTTGGTGTCTGGTACTGTTCTCTGAGTTGTAGAACTTCAGGGTGTGTGTGTGTGTGTGTGTGTGTGTGTGTGTTCTCTTTCAGGTTGTATAATCAGAGGCCAGAGGTTTCGGCAATCCTTTCCATTTTGTTCAAAGGATTTTCTGTATTATTCTCATGTAAAGATGTGATCTGCAGGTCACTCATATTAACATTTCAGAGCTTTGAATAATATATACCAAGAGATTTGTCAAATAAATCACAGAAGTTTAATTACCTGTACATGTGCAGTTTTGTAATTTAAATGCTAAGGTTTCTCAATAATAAAGGTGCTCCTTTTATTTCCTCACTTCAAAATGATTTGTGGCTTTGTTTGGAAACTCATTTGTTAGTTTTAATCCTGATATCTAATCTGGCAAAGACTACTCAGAAAATGGAGCCATTTGTGTCAGAAAATAGATGACTGAGTAAATTACGGTAGTTTCACTAAGTTTCCATTTGCCTTGTAATGAAAAACGTCTCAGGTTACTTATGTAACCATGGTTCCTGTCGCCGGCCAACAAGTTGGTGTTTTTTCAATGTATGCTTCAGACACGGGTCACGACGAGGCGTTCCCCATAGCGACCCCTAGAGGACGCAGTTCGAAGTTCCCATGAAAGGGAACATATTAATAACTGAAAAATAAAATCACATTCAAATTGTTCCAAGATCTGTGCAAAAATGGGTAAATATCATTGCACCACACCACATTATTTACAGTAAGCATTCTTGTACTTTGTGCCAATAACAATATTTTTCTGTAAAACACTGATAGCTGTATGTTTAACCAAAACAGAGCGGAATATACTGTAACTGTTAACATAATGAAATACACATTGAAAAAGTATTTTAAATGAAAAAGTAACACTTTAGTTTAACGACCAATTCTCACTATTAACTAGTTGTTTATTAGCATGCATATTTTCTGGACTTGGGAACATTTCAGTTGCGTTGCTGTCTATGCAGGGTCAGACAGCTTTCAGATTACATCAAAAATATCTTAATTTGTGTTCCGAAGATGAACGAAGGTCTTACGGGTTTGAAACGACATGAGGGTGAGTAATAAATGACAGAATTTTCTTTTTTGGGTGAACTAACCCTTTAATGCCATGACCATATTTTAGATCCCTTAATCCTACCCCACACCTAAACTTAAAAACTATCTTACTAACTATTAATAAGCAGCAAATTAGGGGTTTACTGAGGCAAAGTCATGGTCAATAGTTAGTTAACAGTGAAATTTGGACCTTAAAATAAAGTGTTACCAAAAAAGAATGTATCAACAGTGAAGGCATGTTTTGTATTTCATTAAAAGCAAACATTTATTACGTAACTCAATATATAACCTATTGAAATGTAATGGTGATGAATACTGATTTGCAAATTGACAGATTTTTTCAATGAAAAACAAATATTCAGTAATTAAAATCAATGTTTAAGTCAGAAACAATAGCCTTGTAGACAAGAGTTTGAGTCTGTCATGTGGTTCTTCCCAATCCTGTCCCCCCTCTCTCTCCTGCTTCACTTCCTGTACTAAGTAAATCGGATTACTTGTCCTTTATTGAAATAAAGGCCAACAAGTTCAACAATAATTTATTTTTTTTAAATTGATTCTGCATTACACACTACACAATTTTGAATGAGTGGCGCCTGCTTGTTCTTTCACAATGGGGCACAAAGTCACCTTCCAGAACCTTCACTCTCTCTGTTCCTGTCTTGTGGAAAACCTTCCTCTCTGCTGCCAAACTCCACCCAAACTGCTGAGACTATCATAACATTTAAGAAGCATCTGAAGACACACCTCTTTTGCAAGCACTTAACTAATCCACAACCATAAACAAAGGAACTTAGTATAACCCCTATTTATGTATGAAAAAAAACTCTCTTCTTTTCTGCATTTCACCTCTGTAATAGTTTGTGTACTAATCTAAATGACTAAACTTGGATATTAATATTGTTTGCTCTAAGGCAAATTGCTTGTGATGTTCCTCATTTGTTTAAAAGCATCTACTAAATGAATAAATGTAACATAAAATGTAATGCGTGCATAAAACCAACATAGCATGCGAACCAACATAGCACAAAAATAACACTATTTACTGAGCATAACACACATATTTCCATAAAGCATTTTTATGGTAGCATAATGGACACTGATGTGTTTGCTTAAGTTTTTAAGGTTTAACAATAAATGTGGTTATCTTGCCACATTTATTACCTTAACACATCACAGTCAGACCTCTGCATTATGTGAGATTTGAGGATTGTGAAACACTCAGGTCACATGTTTGCTGTGTTCCACATGTCTGTCTACCACAACGGACAGAAACTCATGTGCATGTTCATCTGCGTTGATATTGTCCACACATTTCCCCACGTCTGCTGTGGGATAATGTTGTTGTTTGTCAGGTGCTCTTCCTGTGTGTTGAGGACTCACATGTCTAGACCAACGTCAAGTGTCTAACCCAACTAGCTATTCCTTTGTTAACATGTTGACATCTCAGAATAAGTTCAATGGAATTGTGTCAGAGCCTGTTATTAAATGAATGTCAGCTTTCTTCAGCACATCTAGTCACTCTCAAATAGCCCTACGGACATTCTACCATCGCACATAAATTGCTTCCTGAAAGTCAAAGCCAAATTAAAAGTGATGAGAACTGATTTTGTTAGAGGTAACGCTGATTGATATGCTTTTATCGGACTAATGCAACACATCCTGAGGCTGCTTCTTTAAAAGCACATTTATGAGCCTGAATTAGTACGGTGACTCAGTGCGTGTCAGCAGTGCAGAGTGCCACAAAGTCTCACCTGATACAGACGCATACCAATCTGTGGATTCCTGTTCTCGTAGCAAGTCTATTTGCGTCTCTCCTGTCATTACACTGACCTTTAATGTGCCTCTCCCATAAGTATTACACCGGTAAATTAAAGGTCCCCGCTGCTCCCGACAAAACACCCCCAATCCCTCTTCACCCTTTCTTATGCAAATGCATTGGATGTTGCTCTCTGTAGTAGGGTGTATTTAATCTAAATTGTAAATTTTTTTCTGCAGAGGTAAGTCGTAAATTGCTTTAATTCTATGCTTAAAAAAAACAGACTATTTGTACACTCTTTGACTGTAGCCTTCATTAGTGCTGTTTTCTAAGGCAATCATCATTATTTTATTACTTTTGATCATTGCATTGCAATGCTCTGGTATGGAAGCCCGTTTCCGCCACTGAATAAAAAATAAAAGAGGTAATGGAACTTAATAGGTAGCCAGTGCAGAGACTGTAAAATTGGGGTAATATGATCATATTTTCTTGACCTGGTAAGGACTCTAGCCGCTGCATTTTGGACTACCTGTAGCTTGTTTATTGAAGATGCAGGACAACCACCTAGCAGTGCATTACAATAGTCCAGTCTAGAGGTCATGAATGCATGAACTAGTTTTTCTGCATCAGAAACAGGTAACATGTTTCGTAACTTTGCAATGTTTCTAAGATGGAAGAATGCTGTTTTTGTAACATGGGAAATATGATTTTCAAAAGGCAAGTTGCTATCTAATATAACACCCGGATTTTTGACTGTAGAGGAAGTAACCGTACATTCGTCTAGTTGCAAATTGTAATCCACGAGATTCTGTGTACTGTCTTTTGGTCCAATAAGTAATATTTCTGTCTTATCCGAATTTAATAGGAAATTATTGGTTATCCAATCTTTTACATTTTTAACACATTCTGTTAGCTTAGATAATTTAGAAGTTTCATCTGGTCTTGTTGAGATATATAGTTGAGTATCATCTGCATAACAGTGGAAGCTAATCCCGTATTTTCTAATAATATTACCAAGGGGCAACATGTATATCGAAAATAGCAGAGGACCTAGGACAGATCCTTGTGGCACGTTTGGCAAACGATTTACACTGTTTGCATGAAACTGGTTTTAGACTTTTGTTTTGTTTCACTTTTTCAGTTTCAGGTTAATCGTGGTCTTAAGATGGATTAGTCCTGTTATGTTGCAACTGCCTGAGTGTCGGCATTGACATGTTATTGGATTGTGTCAGATAATATTTGAACATTCAGGCACATACTGCGTGATTTACTGTGTATAATGCCCAAGTGCTACAAAATGGTACTAAATATATTTATAGATGTTAAACCGGTGCAAGCAACGGAAATAAATAATAATGCACTTACAGGAAACAAATGGGGTGACATTTTTATACACAATGAGCTTGGGAAAGGCTTTGTGTGTCTATATGTTCCCTCACAGATGTCTGTGACAGGATTTCAGAGGAAATTCCCATTTGTTTTTTGGTTGTAGTAGAATTATTATTGAGCAAAAAAATGACCAATGTCTCAGTCATTGCTTACATATCATAGTTACATGTATCAAACACAAAATGTCAGAACATAAGGGACACAATTGCTCTCAATTGAAAACTATCAATAAGCAATACAACAAATTTTAAATAGTCATAATTATATATATATATATATATATACAAATCATAATTTTGCACAATATATCATGCTGCATTATTTTGGCATTGTAACATGTTTTTAAAGACCATGAAATCAAAATTTTCTGTTTTTTGTTTGTTTGTTTTTCTGAAATCCTTTCACTTTCATTCATCTTGCAAATGTCAACATTTTTTTGTGCTTTCCTATGGAAAACTGAATTCTAGGGTTTTTGGGTGGTTTCCAGGGCATCGTTAGGTGGTTGTTTGTTTACTGGCCCAAAGAGGCCACCTTCAGTAGCTACAATATGTTTACATCTGCAATTATTAATGTTATTGCATTGATAATTGATAATAAACAGAATAAGTACTTAAAGGGAGAATTCACCACTAGCAAAATTGGCTTTTAATAAAACTTTGTGATCTAAGCAGTAGAAACCTGAAATGCTACATGACTAGAGAAAACCGAAAAAAAGAGCTGTGGTATTCTCTTTTCCCCAAAATTTCAACACCCATAATGCACATTTGATTTTGGCGCCACCCCTCTGTTGATCCAACTGTCCATGGGCAGGCATACAAAAATTCGTCATTTTAACGAAAGCCCTGAAGCTGTCAAAAGTCTGCCGGATGATGTAAAATCATTTATATATACTACTAACATAACAATAAAAAGCTGTCTGAAAATCAGCTAACTTTTCCTTTAATCCCACAACACAGTTGGCTAACGTTATTCATTTGATAGCTTAGGTCTGAAAGATGATTTTGCTGTTATCAGCACTCTAAATTGACGTAATACGTGAAACCTATAGCACATGGTAAAGAGGGTGAACCATAAAACAAACAATCAAAAAAACAAAACAAAAAACAGTTGAGGCACAGGGCATAGATAGCACAGTTGTCTGTATGAATGTTAGTGTATGCGTTAGAAGTACGGAAGATAAAAGATATTAGCATTTAAAGAGACATGCACCAAAATGGGTCGCTGTGAACAGAGCTGGTTTTGACAAGGTAAAAAAGAGTGTTTTTTTCACAGTCGCTGAGGAATTTTAACCAAAAAATGTTACAGACATTTCAGAAGTAACCTAAAGAGACATGACAACTTGTGTGAAATGGGCATCCGATGTCACCTTTAACTAATATATACAGTAGGCCTGAGGGTGCATGACAACACAGCCACTGTAAGAATCTCCCCCATTGTATCATCTTCCAGGTGAAAACCTGAAGTAAGATTGCTTAGAAAAGTAATAGCACACCTCTCCTCAACAAGCCGCATAATTTGATGAGTCATGCATTTTTGTAGCACACAGCTTACACATCAGAGTTTTTTACCTAGAAGAGTTTGTTCAAATCACTAACCCACTGTATGAGCAACAGTACTGATGTTTGCCTTAGCAAACACTACTAATTGTGTATAATTTCTGTGAATCTAGATGGTCACAGATACCTGGTAAACATGAACCAGAAATAGTACTACTGAATAACAGAAAATAGGGACTTTAAGCAACTGATGGAATAGCAACGGTGACCTGAAGTAAATGGTTAACTGCCATGGACAAAAAAAAAAAATGCAAAAATCACTAACAATAAAAAGGACTGTAGAATGGAGCATTCAATTATTTATCAAAGTTACAATAAAAAATGACATTTAAAAAACCAAGAGAAGGGCTGTTTTTGGCATTAAATTTGAACTTACTGTGATCAGTCCTCGTACCTTAAACAATGTTACCTAATCTGTTACCTAAATTAGCTATTTTCCCATACAATGTCATGAAGGTTTATTTTTTTTGGAAGAACTGTTTCAGTTCTTGCTGTTCCATCACCAGCTGTTCCTTAAAGCCACTAATATGTTTCTGTGTGACCAGAGAAGACCTGAGAAGGACAAGGGAAATGTACAAACACGCCTTCCAATATAAGATTCCCTGGAATGGCTGTGACCTCACGGTCTCCACATAAATCCTGTTGGCCAATGCAAGTTCCGTCGAGCTCTCTGAGAGCGACATGCTCCTTGATTAACAGTACGCTGTAGTGGGCACGTTTCCACAAATAATAACAAGCACGGAGCGATGCGGGGCTGATTAATTACATGTTTTTCAACATCATCGGTAAACAGCTCCAGAGCGTCATTGCTCTCTCTGACAATGTAAACATTGGCGTTTTCCAGCTCATCTGATGTTTGGTCTACACTTGTGTTTGTGGTCACATGTTTGTTCGTTTGGAGGGAAAGGAGCCACCCAGGGTCCGGCATGAGTGCTCACTGATGAGTAATCCATGTTTCCGGGAATATGGAAACATGTCAACGCAAGATTAATACATTTGAGGAATGTCAAATAAGTAGTCCATTCCGATTTCAGTCCGAAGGGATACAGACGCTTGTTTTGGGAATAATAAACATGATACCCTACATATACTCATGATATACAAACATGTGTTTTTGAAGAACACATACTATTAAAAAGAATTGTTTAAAAAAAAACATAAAGAGTTAAAGGTGATGTGTGTCATGTTTTGGATGCTGAAATACTTTCTCCTATTCCAGGTTAATGAGATCTTTATAAATAATCCACTGGAAGGATGAGTCCACCGAAAACAGTAAACAATGACTCCACTGGACTTTTAAAAAACATTGCCGTGTTTATTTGAGCATCCCAAGCTACAGTGAGTGACTCAACTAACGGCATAAGTTTGGGGGTGGGACTATCTGTTTGTCAAACCAATAGCAAACATGTTTGAAAACAGTTATTTTTATTTCCACAGAAATTACACACTCCACCTTTAAAGAGGCAAGTTCAGGAAAGCAATAACGACTTCAGGAACAACTTAATCACTTTTTACTTTGTTTTACAAATTGAGGAAATTACATGTGGCAGGTATCAGATGCTGTCAAAAGACTTGAGGTCACCAATAACTATAAAGATAATAACGATAAATATATTAGCGTCCACACCAATGGATGGTAACGTTTTGTTTGCTATACGCACACACTGCAGTTGTGTTGTCTGCCACTTTAAATGCTTAAATTAGGCCTTTACCTCAAGTATATAAATTGTTGTGTGTTATTGAGTCCCACATATGACATGCATGTCATGTGCATAGTATATAACTCAGAATACTGGAAAATAATTGTTAGAGAGAAACTATCCGATAAAAAGTGTTATTACTTAATAATAAGGTGTTAACGCTTTATAGTAAAGTTCAATTTGTTAACATTAGTGAAGTATCTTAGTTAATGAACTAACAAACGCTACTTTTAAAGCATTTATTAATGTTAGTTAATGTTAAAGCTGCAGTCCGTAAGTTTTGCCTCTTTGTCGCCATCTCTGTTTGAAAACCTGGAATTGCAGCTGTGTGTGGAATTATCTAGCTTGCGTGGGTTGTGCTCCGGCGCGGCTCCAGCGCGGATGAATCTAATGTTCTGAAGAGTATGTGTGTGGCAGTCAGTCACCGCACCGGTGTGGATATTTACTGTACTTCGCAATCACAGATTCTAGCCTACGTCTTGGAATATGACCCAAATAAGAATTTTCACCGTATATTG